GAATGAATTGAGAAAATGCTTGATTGCATTGTGTTTGTCAAGAATTGAAATGATAATGAATGAATGAATATGTGCTTAAACGAGTCTTGTATTCATTTAAAAAGAAATCTAAGATAATAGTGGTAACAAAATGAAGAAATGGTAGAAACCTAAAAGAGATAATTTGAAAGGATATATGATGTGACCAAATGGAGAATATGATGGGACAAATCTTAAAAAGTGATATAACCAAGTGATGAGTGCAATGATGAATTGGTCGATATGACTTGCAAGTTATGATTGAATAATGAAAACAATCAGTGGACAAAGTTTGTTTTGGAATGGTTAATGCTGAGACACCTATGAGTAATGACTCAGTGATGGTGGATGAAATTTGTTTTGAAATTTTTTAGTGCTGAGAAGTCTATGAATGGTGGTCAAGTGATGATCGATTGATGAAACTTATTCCAAGGTATTGAGAAACTGAACAAGAAAGACATGCAAAATGATGGAATTTTGGGAGCCATATTACCACAATTATTTAGGATTTCATGACATTATTGACATTCGCATTACATGCATCATGGTGGCATTGTCACTTGAATAATACATGCACATAATTCGATGAATTAACTTTGTTCAGACATGCATGAGAGTATAGGTTACCGTATTTGCATCATTAAGAAGGCATTTACATCTTTGGTCATAACATTCATTCATGTAAATTTTTGAGTCACTTAAAAAAATTATGAATATTTTGATGAGAATTTTTTGAGAACTCAAATGAGAATCTTTGAGTTTCAAAATGTGAATCTTAGAGGAGTGAAATCCTAAAGTTCGTCGAATGTGAATCTTCAAACTAGAATGAAAAGTTTTGAACTTTTGGATGTGAATCTCCAAAATACAAAGCTTCAACCTTTTGGATATGAACTTCTAATGTTTTAAATGAAAGCCTTTGAACTTAGATGTAAAACTTTAAATTTTTATTGCATGTGAGCGTTTGAACTCAAATGAGAAGCTTTGAATTTTTGGATGTGAATCCTAAGCTTGCCAAATGCGAACCTTTAAAAGGCCTTGAACTTTTGAATGTGAGCCTCCAAAATTCAAATGAGGATCTTTGATGCGAGTCTTACAAGTTGCAAATGAAAATCTTGAGATCTTGTAAATTTAAACGAAACTAAAATCTTGAGAATCAAATTTAAGTAAATTCTTACAAAGTTGAAAGGTTCTTGCGAATCTGAACCTATGAATGTTGAACTCAAATTGTGATCTTTGAGTTCCCATTACAAAATTTCTTCAATCACGATCTATAACTCCTTTGGACATGATTGTCAAGGGGTAATTTATTTTTCAAAGTTGTGGTGCCTTTATTTAGAGGAGCAATTTACTTTTTAAAGTTGTGGTGCCTCTATTTAGAGGAGCAATTTACTTTTCAAAAGTTATGGTGCCTCTGTTTAGAGGAGCAATTTACTTTTCAAAGTTATGGTGCCTCTATTTAGAGGAACAATTTACTTTTCAAAGTTATGGTGCCTCTATTTAGATTAACAATTTACTTTTCAAAAGTTAAGCCTCTAATTGGAGGAGCCATTTATTTTTCTAAAGTCGTTGAGCCTCTGATTAGAGGAGCCATTTATTTTTCTAAAGTCGTTGAGCCTCTGATTAAAGGAACAATTTATTTTTCAAAGTCGTTGAGCCTCTGATTATAGGAGCCATTTATTTTTCAAAAGTCGTTGAGTCTCTGTTTAGAGGAGTTTTGATCAAATTAAAAAAAAACAAAAAAACAAAAAAAAATTACCTCTGTTTAGAGGAGCTTTGTTTATGTTTCTCAAAGTCGTTAAGTCTCTACTTAGAGGAGCTTTGATCACAATTTAAGAAATGAAAAAAAATAAAAAAATCCAGTTGAGTCTTGAATGGGTGTCTACGTCTTTGCATAATTTTTATTTCACAGAAAATGTGCAAAGAGGGGCAGCTGTAGACACCCAATTTGATCTAGGCTCGGATCAATTGGGCATGGTCGAAATGAGTAGGCCCACTTCATTTTGTATTTTTGTATCTCTTATATTTTTTTACTTTATTTTGTATTTTATGTATTTATTATTCATTTATTTATTATTACTATTTATTAATATATATATTTATTTTATTATTTTTATTATTTATCTATTGATAGATATATGTATTATTATTTATCTATTTATATATATTATTATTTATCTATTAATTAATATATTATCCTTATTATTATCTTTTTTATTATTTTATTATTTATTTTATTTTATTTTTTTCTTTTCTTCTTTCTTTTACCCGATTGGAGTTGGATTAGAATAGAAATTTGAGTGCGGGATTCAATCAGAATCCGAATTGGATTCAAAGATTAAATCCCAATCCAAAAGGGAACAAGGATTGATCAAAAACTCTTCTGATCAATCCTTATAAATAGATCCACGGATCAAAGGACTGGGACAGAGAAAAAAGAGTTACTAGCTGAGAGAAAAGGCAAATACAGAGAGGATTTAAAAGCTAAAAAGATTTGGGTGCGTTTAGAATAGCTCTAAGAATCGGTAAGAATTTTTTACGAATTTTTACGAATTTTTTTTTTGAAAATTTCTGGAAAATTTTCAGATTTCGGTTGAACTTTTTTGCGAAGGTTGAATTTTTCGACAACTATTTCGGTCAAGTTTGAAGTTTTCGGCCAACTTCTCAGTTTTTGACAATATTTTCAGAAATTGATCAGTTTTTCGATGAACTTTTGATGAAAAATCCATATTTCGACGAAAATTTTCAGAATTCGATGAATATTCAACCGAAATTCTTTGGATTCTAGAGAGAAGGGAGAGAAGAAAGAAGGGAAGAGAGAGAAGAGAGGAAGGGTTCTACTGAAAAAATGAAGGAATCAGTCTTATATACCCTCCTAAAACGACATCGTTTTTACGTTAAGTAAACTAGAGGATCTGCACGTTTTGCCAAGATCCGACTCGACCCGAGCGCTGACCCGCTTTTGACCTGCATGCGACCTGCGTCTCAAGCTGAGCCGAGCCAATACCCTTGAGCCGCTTCTCCGAGCCGTTTTTTCTTCCTTAAGCCGAGCCGAGCCGAGCCTCAAGCCGAGCCGTTCCTAGATTTTTTTTTTCATTATTTATTTATTTTTTTTGTTATTATTATTATATTAGAATTGTTTAATATTTTTATTTTTATTTTTCTTTATCTTTTTATTTGTTTTCATTTTTACTTTGTTTATTTTATTTTATTATTTTATTTTTAAAAAAAATTCAAAAAAAATTATTTTTGAGGAAAAGTTGAAAGTATCAATTTTTCTTAAAAATAAATTAAAAAAAAAGGTTTCTTTTTGAGAAAAAGTTAAAAGTATTAATTTTCTTTGAAATTAAAGTTTTCAAAAAAAAATTTTGAAAAAAAAGTTGAAAGTATCAATTTTTCCCTATAAAAAAGCAATCATTTTTTTTTATTTCTTTAGAATTTTTTTTAATGTTAAATAATTTGACGATGGAGTCTCTGCAAGTGAGACAGTAGTTTTCTTGCATACTCTTGAGGTGAGGGGATTTTTTCAATTTTCTGCTAAAAGTATTAGAGTCAATTGAGAATAATTTTCAACAACTAATTACTTGATAAAATTTTAAGGCTTATTGGATAATACAAAATTAAGCTGGTACTATCTTTTGATGGGCTTTGTGAGGGTGCTATAATCTTCTTCACACATAACCGAACTCCCGAACCCTGTTCTGGTTAGTAGACCCGAACATATTTTTTTAAGGACCCTTAAACTTAGGTGTTCCCTGAAATGATAGATTTCTTAGGTGGCTAATCGCACCTAAATAAAAACGATTGGTGGCAACTCCTAAAGTCAATGTCTAACGATAGATTCCTATATTTAAACGTTATGACATACCGTTAATAGCAATTAATGTGTAATGTTCAAAAGCATAACTACACAAGGTTATTATAGGGTAAACTCAAAGTCTGACTATGCACTTTAAAGTGCTAAAGTGCCGGAAACTGCACAACCATGCTATTTGCAAAACTCACTAAACTGTGTGGCAAGCTGCAAAAATACAGCAACAAATTTCCGCTACAACTGCCCTTTTCAAGTCTATTAAGTGAAATTAGAGACTGAAGAGACTTGAAGAGGAACACTTCCTATAGGTTGCGAAGCTATCTTACTAGCACATGGATGGCGCTTTGGGCTAGTGGGTTCAGATTCATTGTTCTGGTTGTTGGTTTCCTGGAAAAAGATTACTAGAATATTAGTAGTTATATGTTAGCCTAATACTGGCTTAGTCCAATTTTACTTACATATCAAACTATACTCTGACTGTTGTTTTCCTGTAAGTGAAAATCAGCAATGAAACTCTCACTCCCGGATAGAAAGTCCAACTGTAAAATATATCCTGTATTGTTTATTTGCTTTCTGCCTGCCTTTAATAGTCCAGGCTTCCTTTGCAGGCTGAAAATGTTAGCCCAAAACTAGCAGCCATGCATAAAGAGCATGGAAATCTAAATAACTAGGCTATGCGAATATCCTCTTTGTTCCGCATGAAGTAATGAAAAAAATAATTCTGTATTTAGCTTTACATTAACATAATCTTCAATTTATCAATACCTATGAGTTATGTCAAACCGGAATAATGCAGGATCAGAACCTCCATAGAAACGGCATAAAAATGAGTTTCCAAGAGAGGGATTTATACAGGCAGCCTAATAAAGCTCAGAAAAACAATAGAAATATATCCCAAAATCACTCTAACTTCTACCATGGAACTACAACCAAAGAGTCACCCCATTGCTTGCTAATAATAACAATGTTTAACATCACAGTCAGCTCAAAGATTTTACTAGCAAAAAAACTAGTATCAAACCAACATGGGAAAGAAAGGAACTTTTTTTTTGTTGCATGGTCGGTGGAAGTTCAATCCCTTTCTTGCTAACCCACTGTTTGAATTTGAAATGCTTAAACATGAATTCATGAAAAAAAGTTCTCGTAATAATAAGCAGATAGCCAAACATACCCATAACCAGACAAATCCACTATATACCAGCTTTTATTCACCAAAAAATGATTAATGAGCTGTGTCTTCCCTGCACATTCAACAATTCCAACTCAGAAACAGTAATGCAAAAAAAAAAAAAGCAGAAATTTAAGGGAAGTAGAAAAAGGGACAGACCTTGTTTCTTAGAAGTGAGAGCAACTTGATTTTTTTGAACCAAAACATTTATAAGTGAAGACTTGCCCACATTAGACCAACCCAAAATGGCAAACTCGGGTCGGTTATCTTTGGGACAATCCTTAGCCCGACCGCTAATATTAACAAACTCCACCATCTTAATCTGAGAATGACCCGCGTAAGGTCCGAGTGCGATGTTGGACCCTGGCACTATCATTTTATCTGTTACCTCTTCCGGGACGACCCCGGGTGGCACGAATAGCAGTTTCTTCATAAACCGCGCCTGTTCAGACATTGATTGCTTCGCGGCCCTTGAATCTGAGACTTCCGCTTTTGGGTCCAAATTAGGCCCAAATTCATTTGCCAAACGGACCACCGTATATCTCCTTGTTTAATCTCCTACCATTCTTTTCGTCATGTAAAATTTTTTTTTATATTTTATTTCTCTTTAATTAACAAATATTAGACGAGAAGAGATTATTTTATTTTATGCTCAGATTATGGTAAAAACTTAAATTAGATTTATAAAGAATCGGATATTGTTGATAATAAAAATTAAATTTAAATTATATAAGTGAAATATTTAATTTTTATTAATTCAATCAATTTTATTGATATAGTTTATTTTTTATACAATCATTTAATTTTAATAGTTAAAAAAATTGAATTTAGTATTGATTTATCGCAGGAAATGGATTTTTTTACTACTGTAGTAAATACTATTTAGTAAAATATTTTCCAGTAAAAAAATTGGTATGTGCTAGAAAAAAAAAAAAAAAAGAAAATATTTGGCTTTCGTAGCATTAAGAGACTTCACTGGGAAAAAGACATCAATACGGTGCCGTTACGGTGCAGAATTTGCCACGTGTTTCCTCTTATCATCACTGTTTAACAAAACACTTCCAACACTGTAAGTCATAATTACAACTTTTAAGAACAAGAAAAAAAAATGTCGTGGTTAGCAAGATCCATTGCCAACTCGCTCAAACTCGATGAAGAGGAAGACGACAACGACCTTACCAATGCCGCTCCGAACTGGAAACCCGAATCCGATCCAAACCCCAACCTATCTTCTCCCTCCCATTCCCATTCCTCATCGGATCCCAACACTCCACGTGGCGTCAAAGAAGACCTCTCCGAGCTCACAAAAACCCTAACTAGCCAATTCTGGGGCGTCGCCTCCTTTCTCGCCCCGACTCCTCCGCCGTCATCGGACCAACCGCCCGATCACACAGAGGAGGAAAAATCTCTGCGGCCGCCGTCCAATGAGGCGGATGAATTTTCCGATGAGGCATTGATAGCCGGAATCCGTAGCGATTTATCGGAGATTGGCGGGAGATTCAAGACCGGATTCTCTAAGCTGTCTAACAACATTGCCGTCTCGGAGTTCGGTAAGATCGCTTCGAATTTTCTTCTGTTTGGATCATCCGAGGAAGAGAGTCTTGAAAAATACGAGAGTGGAAACGTCGTCGGTTTGACCGAAGAAGTTGTCGCCTTTGCTCGGGATATAGCGATGCATCCCCGAACTTGGCTTGACTTTCCCGTGCCTGATGAATCAGAATTTGATGGTAATTTACTTAATTTCTAATTTCGCAGATTAATGTGCTTTAATTAAAAAATTAGGATAGTAATATGCATTTTAAACAAGCTTAATTCTTGTTCATTCTTTGGTAACTTTCGTCCCTTTTATTTTTAAATTTGGAAATTTGTTATTGCGAATTGGGGATTTTATATGATTGACTCTGATTACTGAATTTTGCAATGCATAATTGATTATTGATTATAGAATGGTATAACTCTTTTGAAATAAGTGGAATGAGAAGATGAAACAAGTTTCAGTTTTGATCCTTTCTGCTTGCTATTGAAGGGTCTTCCAATTGCTTTATGCGTTGAGGTTTCTTAATCAGCTAAAGTTGCGTTATGTGTTGAGGTTTGTCAATCAGCTAAAGTTTGTTATCTTTATAAGATTTAGCTGACAAACCGCATATAGGTAGGTTTGGCAGCTTTATTACAGGCGTGTTAATATCGTTTCTGCTTTATGGTAATCGAGTTGATGGCTTATTGGTATTAAAACGGCTCATCAGTCTTATGTCAGACCTTTCTGTATATTTTTTTAGTGATGATTTGTGAATTTCTTTGTCACTTGGTGCAATAAATTTTGTAGGTGTGAAATTGGAAACCTTTGGAGTATGAGGTAGTATTTGTTCAGGTCATATTATGTTACGCTTTCTTCTGCTTCTTCATGATTCTCATGACTATTTCTGTTTTTATTTTTTAGTGAACTAGGTCTTGGTTAAATCACATATCTTTTCTTCCACTTAGATGGCTTACATGGCAAACAAAGTGTATTCCAAACTTATGGCTTTTGAGAAACTGTCTGAATATTTTGTTGTGTTATATGAAGCTGCATTTAGTGGCCTATTTCATTATCACTGCACTGCCTCTATGTTAACTTGGTTTTCCATAAGGGCCACTATACAAGTTCAATTATGTGCTAGTATGGAGCTGGCTGATTTAAAGCTTCTTTATCTTTTTTGAAATCTCAGATTTTGACATGTCTGATGCACAACAAGGACATGCTTTAGCTGTTGAACGTCTTGCACCAAGATTGGCTGCTCTTAGGATTGAACTTTGCCCAGGATATATGAGTGAGCGTTGCTTTTGGAAGATCTATTTTGTACTTTTGCATCCTCGACTAAATAAACATGATGCAGAACTTCTGTCTACTCCCCGAGTAAGTTCATGAGTCCTTTTGTTTTCATTGGTTGATCCCCTGATTTTATGATTCCAAGGTGATGTGTATTATGTTCTTGAGGAGTCACTTCAGGAATTTCATCTTCCGCAGTTATAAGAATGAGAATTATAAGAACGAGAATAAAACTAATAAGAACAAAGTAATTAGATGCAAAAAGTTCTTCAGTGCAATGGGAAATTAGAAGCTTATCTAGTTCTGTGTATGTCTTTTTCAACTTTGAACATCATTTTCACCAATACTCTCTCACGAGAAAGGAGTGCTATTATTTGGCTTTTTTGGTTTTGCCACTCAGTTGTGCTAGTAGGGCTGTCATTTCCTTGCAGTGATCGCATTTTCCAAATCCCTTCTATCTCCTTCTATCAAGATTTTCATTACTCTTGTGCACATCATTTCCTTCAACTATAACCCAATTTAACGCTTGTCAAAGAAAATTTTAATGCGGAATGAAGAGAAGGATTACTGGGTCTTCTTTGTGATTCAGCTTCCTTCACCCACCCCTCTTTTTCTCTTTCCTTTCTGCATTTCTAACTGTTAAATGGCCTGCATGCAGATAGTTGAAGCAAGAGCAATGTTAATGAAAGGGTTACAGTACCAAGCTAAGGCAAAGATGGCGGAAGGTCATTATGATAATGGCATTTCAAATATAACGGCACATTTACCTTGTGAAGAGTCTCTTTCTGTGCCTTCTCCCACTCAAACTAAACCAATGCCACTCAAGGCATCTGGACCTGAAGTAGCAGCTATTGCTGTACCTGTTGAGATTGAAACAGAAAAGCGCCCAGTTCAGACTGCTGAGATGCAGGTTGTTGACAAGTCTGTCATTGAGGAAGAGCCAATGAAAGAGACCAAACATCAACATTCGACATCTGGTTCCTCTGGAGTTTCTATTGAGAAATTTGAAGATGATGGTGATGACTGGTTAAAAGAGGAAAATTCGGAGGCAGTTGGGACAAGTGCTATCGCAATCCCTCTTGGAAATGATGAGGATGTTTCTTTCAGTGATCTGGAGGATGATGATGATGTGCCAATATGTTACAAGAAAGTGACATCGGGTTCTGATTCTTCAACAAAAGACTCAAAAGATTGGGTTCAGCTTGGGAGGAGCTCTATAGACTCAGTTAAAGACGTTAGCTGTGTTGGTGATAAACATTCTGGGTCTGAGCAGGTAAGTGCTCGTAACCCTGAAAGCAAGGAATCAAATGACTGGCTTGACATCGAAGAGATCATGTGAACCAAAAACCTTTAGGATATTTGTATTCTAGATCTTCTTGCTTATAACCTTGTGAATATGTTGTGTATGGTTTCCTCAGTCCGAGCTAAGGGTCAGGAAACTGTGTTTTGTACATTTAACCCTGTCAAAATTGGATAATTATGTGCTGTTGCAATATTCATGTAATTTTATGTCCAATAAATCCAGCACCTGTTATATCAAGAGTATATGTCATTGCTGATTGATCAGGAAGGCATAATAAACATTTTTGCTGTAGGGTTGAAGATGCTGTGAATTATTGTGGACAGATGCATAAAGGATTAGAGTGCCGTGGCAGCTAGAAAAGACGAAGCATTTGAGAAAACAGTTTTATATTACAAGATTTAGCAATGAACAAGCATCATGTGGCTTTTCATAACTAGGCTTCTTGATTCTTAAATGGAATTAGTAGGAAAACACATACAAATACACACGATAAATACAAGGGTGGGCTGGTTTTATGCAAGCCTGAGCGAACTGCAAGCTCATAGAACTTTGTCTTTTCTAGCTTTGGAGGCAAAGCTGATTCGAGCACATTGGCTTTTGAGCTTTCACAAACTTAGGCAACTTGACTAAAATGTAGCTCTTAATTGTAATAATATCTATTTCCCAAGTCAAACTTATTATATAGGCGATCTTGGGGGAGGTTTAGAACAAATGGGAGAAAGATTCAAAGAATGATGTTTCTTTTGTGCTTCGAGTGTAAGCATTTACTGATTTGTCTGTTCCAAGAAAAGCTTAACATGTAGACCAAACAATGACGATGACATTGACTTCCAAGAGAACAATATATTTTTTAAGAAAACCCTAGTATTTTATTTATGCAGACTTATGTACAGACAAGGTCGTGGGTACAGCTTGAAAGCAGTTCCTGAATTAGGAACTACTCATGATTTAATGAGCCCGAAATTCCCTGAAAGTCGCTCAAGCTGAGACCATAACAAATTTCCTAATGAAAATCTTGGCCTTTCTTCCACTTCACCACTACCGCTTCTGCTAATACTTGATGAAGAAGCTCGAGAAGTCCCGTTGGGGGACTTGTTTACCACCAAAACAGACCCCCCAATCTCCTGTCTCACCAATTCCACCGTCCTCGGATTTACATCATGCCCTGAAGCATCTGTAACATAGAAAGATCCGACTGCTCTCTCCCCATGTATCCCAATTTCTGCCCTGTTTATTGATAGCCCATTTTCTCGAAACACCCTGGTCACATTCGAGAGTAACCCCATCTTATTTTGAGTACATAAATCCAGCCTCAACCCCTGCACCAAAATACCGTAAAATGATTGTTACTTCTAATTTACTAAAATACGATTTATAGCACCAAAAGCAGAAGCACAAGTTGCATGTTTTATGACACTAACATGGGAGACTCTTCGTTCGGTTGCTGCAATCAAACATTGTGTAAGTTTGTGTCTTTCATTCTGTGTAATCAAACTGCATCCGTCCTGCCTCCTTATGAAATATTCCTGGAAGTAAACCACAGTTTAACCAAACCTGAAGGCCATAAAAAATGACAAGAAAGATAAACATCTCAAGCCATTTGTAAGAACTTCTTTTCAAGGTACCTGGTCAGCCATGGAGCCCTTTGAGCTAACTGCTGCGTGGAACACCACATATTGCAAGTCACTTAAGGCACAAATTGTATCAAACAATAGCTTGGTTCTGTCTCTACTCCTCATACTGACCACCGAGTACCCTTTCTCCCTGCATGTCTCGATGGTCACATGAGTCTTCGTACACCCATTCCAGTGCCTGCAGCTGCCATCGCAGCCTTGACACTGCTCGTAGTCTCTATCGGCATACATCAACTGGTGAAGCCGCCGCTCTGTATGTGTCCTACCGGCTGCCGGAGCAGTTAACCGGACACTCCTCTGCTCTCCACTCTCATTATGGGCCTCAACTACACTCTCTAGCTTTTCTTGTACTTGAGCAAGCCGTTTCGGCGCCATGATGGGCCCTCCCTGGATCCCATCTTCTATATGGATTATGCAGGCCATGCGGGAATTATGGGTCCATTGGACTGCTGCAGTGACATGGCATCCTAATTCGTATAGAGCTGTTGATATCTCTGACATGAGGCCAGGCCGGTCCCTCCCAGTCATCTCCAAGGCTGTATGTTCTGTTGATACATGGCATGGCCTTACCTCTCTTTTAAGGCATGTTTGTAGCTCCTTTGGTATCCCTCCTCTCCTCCTAGTGTCACAAAGTGCCTGTCACTATCATCTCCTTGTTAGAAAACAAATCAAAATCCCATAAATTAATTAATCAAAGCTTTTTTATGTTGCAGTAAGATAATTAATATCACAGAAATATGGAGAAGCGAGACCTGTTGAATGTAAAGAATAAGGGTCTCGTCAGTAAGTTTGTTCCCAAGCTGGTCTGTCACATGGAACACTGCAAGCAATGGAAAAAAAAATGAAAGAGGACAGAAAAATGAAAAATCCTTTTGATATTTTTTGGTGGATACTAAAATGATATTTTATATTATTAAAGAAAAGGAGGGGAAGAATAAGTGATGAAAGGGTGATGTGGGGGGCACTGACCATCCATGAGCCATCCACCGTCGGAGGAAATGTATGATTTGGATATAACAAGGTCAAGATCTGTCAAAACTTGGACCATCTCTAGCAAAATCCAGTGCCTGTTTGCACTATCCACCTGTGAACGTTGACATGAAAAAAAAAAGTTAAATTTCTCAGGCCATTTTCTTGCTTTTTAAATGCTATACCATTCGGAAGCCTGGTTAGAAAAGAACTGCATATAGCAAACAGATTATTTTGCCCTCCTGAAATTGTGTTTGTTTTTTCTTAAGTTTTCTGGTCTTTTAAGAACTAGATGATCACTACGTCAGTCCGTATTTTTCTAATAGTAGAGACTTCTCCTTAACATTAACATGCCATGCATGAAGCTGCAATCCCGACACTAAAGCTAAAGAAATTAATCAATGCTAACTATAAATAGTTCCTCCGAATTTTACATCTTTAGCTCTTATTGTATTTTCCTTTGTCTAACTTTCCTTTGGAACTCGATTTCTAATGGTTCTCTAGTCGGTTCCTCAAAAAACTCTCTCCCTTCTATATCTAACGCGCTACCAACTTTCCAACTAAATATTTTAGTATTAATTTCCAAATAGATTGATTTGCTTTAATGAACTTTGATTAAGATTAGAACAAATGATATAGTGCCTGATTCCAAGATAAATGAAATCTTTGATCAAGGTGGTGTACACACACACATATAAATATATATATATATATAGCTTCTCCATCGGTTTCACACATCTATGGGTGGAATCTTAAACCTTTCTAGCTTACTTTTGGACCAACTCCATTATCCAAAAACACTAAACAAAACCCAACAAAATGAAATCCATAAACGAAGACTTATCTTCTTAAAAAATATCATATATAGATTAAATTTACTTTTAATATTATAAACCTTAAACAAGAAGATATTTGATAAAACCTTAATAAGCGTGCAGTCCCGGAATGCGTCGTTGTCGATACAAACCCTGTAAATACGGAACCCGGCTAATTAGAAATCATTGGTTTCACCAAACTTACAGGGTTTCAATTATAAATTTTTTCTCGTCCACCATCTAAATGAAGCATAAATAAATCCTACTTGAAGGAAATTAAAAAGAAAGTGACGAACTTAATTGTAATTTGCTTGCAGTACTATACCTGGGAGGATGGATTCTTTCAAAAAGGGATTCAAACTCAGGATCAACATAGGGCTGGTAAACGATCTCCATCTTCTTTCTTTAATGTCTGAAGAGAGCTTTCAACTTTCAAGTTTTCTTCGAGTAAAGTCTTAAGAAACATGAAACATGCATATGCATCAATATACATTTATATACTAGAGATGTTTTAGAATATTCAAATCAGGAAAATACTTGTAAAAAATGGAAGCGTGTGAACAAACAATGTATAAAATGGAGGAAATTATAAGCAAGCGGCGTCCAGCTTGGTTTTTAAAAGATAATATTTAGACTTTGCAAAGACAACTGTTTTTTCTTTGATATGGAAATTTCTGCAGCTTTGGCTTGTTGAATTTGTTGTCATTGAGATAAAACCAAGTGATTCTGGATAATGTCGATGCAAAAATAAATGCAAGAAATGAAGGAAAGGAAATCTTTGAATTCTCCACAATCATAAGAGTGGTTTAAAAGAAACATATTAACATATAAACAACTCCACCCTCCCCCCCCCCCCCCCCCCCCAAAAAAAGTGTTTTTCAAACACGAAATTTTAAGGAAGAAACGTATAGACAGATGAAAAAAAAAAAAAGGAAAATACTAAACAAATTGCATGTGATGATAAGGTTTATAGTCACCATGTTCCTTTCTATGGAAAGGGAGAGACATATGAAAAAATTGGGTTGAACTGCAGAACCCCAAAATCTTTTATGCTTTTCCCTGTGATTTTGCTAAGAATGGAAAGGTTTTTCTCGGTAACAGAGATACAAAACCGAAACAAATGGAGAGTTGATAAAAAAAAAAAAAAAAAACTCATATCCCACCTTGGAAACCCTCCGAAGTGATCCTAACCTTAATTTTTTTGGTTTTTTTCTTTGCTGGTTAATTGTTTCAAGCCAAAGTCGTGACAAACCAAAAAGTCAAAAACTAAAACAAAAACACCGATCTCTTTCACATTGGCACTTTGGGTTTATTTTCCTAACAATTTATATAGAAATTGCTTTTTTTACTGGGTTACGTAGGAGGAGGAGGTAGGAAGACCGGGACTCTCGATGACGATTAGCCACGTACGAGGCCGTAGTTCACGTGTCACCACGCTGTTTCAGGGGCTCCAGCTTTCCCGTTGATCACCACGTGGGTAAAAAACAAATTGTGACTGGGAATTTTTCTTAGTGTCCCAGGCTTGTTCCTTATGTTTGGAAGGGAATTTAGCCATTTTTTTTATATATATATAAGAACTTTGCAGCGTCAAATGTAGGACATTATTTTCCCCAGTCAGCTGAGCGTAGTTGTTGATGGCGTGGTAAACCATGGTGGTTTTGAGCTTTACTCCTTTAATTTCTGGGCTGGAGCTACAGTTGGACTACTGATTTTTTTTTTTTTTTCTATTTTTGGGTGCTTGACGAGTAGGCAATAATACTTGCGAGGTGTAGCTGTTTCCAAGTGATCTGCTTTAGCTAGGACTAATCTCCACAATTTAACTAAGATTGCTCAAAAGATTTGGAAGGAAATCAGTACATTTGGGGAAAATTTTAGACTTTTTTAGTGATATTTAGAACCCGCTACATAAAATGGATTGCCATTTATCTAGAACAAAACCAGTTTTTAGTGAATTTTTTTTTTCTCCCAGAGGTTTTCAATGTTGCTTCTGACAACAGGAAATTAATCCTCTTTTCACATCAGTGAACCACTTGCTTTCATAATTTAATAACATTGTTAGACAATGGGAAAGAAATGGGAATCTTGCTTCATTGCTTGTACCTATTTGGCTATTTATTATGTTGCTCTATACAAATATTTTAAGGCTCCATTTTAGAGCGTAGTTTCAGTCATAAAACGCAGGTGTCGTACGCTGAAACTTGGGAGGACTCCCACCAATGTAGACTGGATTCAATTGAGTTTTTATTTTCGAAGAAGAACAATAGCTTTTGGCAATCTCTAATCTGCATTCTGCAACACTTGTATAGTAAGCTTTGCCTTGAATTCTACTGCTTACGCTTTTGGCCTTTAATGCTTCGAGTTTACTTCTGCAACCAGAAGAAGCATTAATGTCTGCCATATATCGACTGTAAATTTGCTTGATTTAATTGAATGTAGCCATCGAGGCAATACTGGGAAGTACGGAACTCTTAAATGTATGCTGCTTTCGTACATATAAAATGGTCGGCCAAGTAACTTGTCTTTGGTTATTTTCCCCTGTAGTTTGAATGAATTGAATAATAACCATCTCCAGGATATGACCTTTTCCCACCTATAAGCTCTGCTGGCACAACAATGAAGCTTGCCAGGATGCGCCACAGAATTGTGAATCCTTTAAGCGGGGATAAGCCATTTTTTGGGTTCCGCCAGAGCATCATAGCATGGCAATTGCTTGCTTTTCTCTCTTTGCTTATGTGTTTTTGGATGCCTGCAATTGTTTAGATAAGATAAGACCATCCTAATTTGGATCAAATCTGCTTTTTCACTTGTGCTGCAGCTGGTGGCAAAGTAAACTATATGCATATCCTAACCATAAATACATCTTCCCCTTTTAGCATAGCGGCAAGACATCACCTGTTTTGGGCTTACTTTGTGCATTATCATCTTAATTTTGGTTCTTCTAGACTCTTCCTACATTTTAGATTTGGGTCAAGGATTTGGGTCCATTTGTGCAGCGTTTTCTTGGGTACTGAATCTATCTGTTCAATTTTGTATTGGGGATATTTGATTCTTGGTTCTTCTCACTAGTAATTAGTAAATCTATTGCCAATCACTATTATTAGCTACTTTTTGGTATGAAACAAATGAACAAAATGCATTCATGTATATCAGCTCGAATAACATCAAGACCAGTAGCAAATGTTTGAACACAGCTCAAGTATCTTCAATGGCAAACTGGATGGGGAACTCCCATTATCCACTTTTCAGAAACAACCAGATCAGACAATATTTAATAAAGACATCAGCTAAGTTGAGTTAGCGTTCGCTTTTTCAGCAGCCTCTTCTTGAAGCTTCTTTTTCCAGTACTCATCGAGGGAAGGTCCAAATATTGCCTTCCCAAAAACAACTCCAATTCTGCAAAATTGAGATAGTCAAATACCTCAACAAGGAAAAGAGTTTACATGTAAAATAGGATTAAGCCTTCTATAGAGCTCTAAGCCTACCACGCATGCTAACAAAAAAAGAGGAATAATACAAAGTTAGTAAATCCTGGTTGCTTAAAGCTCCAAGACTAACCAAAAACATGAGTTCCTGTGACAAATTGAGAACTTAAAGCTTTTAGGAGGCACCAAAATGAAACCTATATCTACAATTTGAGAGTCATAAAGCTCGGATAAAAACCAATACCATACAAATGCAAAGGATGGTCAATCAAAATGATGCATATAACCAGAATCTGATCTGGCGAAAGGTAATGTTGCACAATCCTCACAGAAAGGCTAACAAACATGAACCTATCAGGAACAAGTCAAGTTTAGCCGTCATCGTATTGAAACTTCTTTACCTGCTTTTGTTCTGAGATTTGTAACTATCTGACATTTCATGTTAATGGATTTTCCCGCCATAGGTAAGATTCAACATTTCAGCCCTCAAAGTCAATTACCCAAAAATGAAATCACACCAAATATTGGTTTCATTGAATTAAATTTGATAAGGGAACATTTTTACATCAATTTAGTAATGGGTAAATCAAAGATTTAAGTTTTAAGACATAATTACCTTGGGAATGATCATTACGTACAGATTCAAAGCTTCCAGGGTTTGGGCTGAACAATCTCAGTCTGTCTGAATTGCCCCCTTTCATGAAAGAACAAGCAGGCTTTAAAGCCCATTAAGGGTCCATTACGCCCATTATTGACCAACAATTTGAGCCCTTTTAGTTTAACCAACTGTGTCAAACTCTTTATCAATTAGGTTACTGCTAAATTCAATAATTTCCTTTTCCTTTCACAACAATTGACTTAGCTTTTTATTTTATTTTCCTATCTTCAGCTTTTTTTTTCATTGGACATGTGGATCTCATTGATATGTATTTGTAATTTGTTTATTCAAGCAAATTTATATAAAACGAGAGACTACCAGCAAACTCAATCATGTTTATACTGAAAGAACAAATAATATATTATTTTTTAGGTAAGTGAACTTGGATTTATTAAAACCAGAGAAGATAGACCATGGACTTATTAATCAGTTGAATGAAAATGAGTCAACTTTAGAAGGAAATTTCATTATTGGAAACCTAATGCTCTAGCTGATGATTTAGCCAGAAAGATCATCATCCATGACCCAGTGAAAGAACAAATCAAGTTATAGTACTACTAATATTATTACTCAGCTAATACCAATTCAGTTCAAATTACATAATCTTTGTTTACCAAGTTAAAATATATCTGTCATTATAAAGAAAAGGTGGTGATAGCAAAAGTAATGAAAAGAACATAATGTACAGGCTGCACACTAGCAATTTGCCAAGTTTATACTACATTATTTTAGAAAGGGTATATGAGTAGTGACTTGGTATATAACAAAGAATTTTAGACACATTTGATAAATACATAGTTGGTTGGTACATGCCTATTCATATTAGCATTAACCCACAAAAACTATCTTAAATTAACATCATCAATTTATCATTTTTCTCATTTTCATATCATTATCTTAATTAATTTGCGAATGATCATAACTAAATTACATTTTACATATACTAATTAAGTTAAACGTGTGAAACGGATATGTTTAGCTTTTCCTTTTACAAAAATAAATTAACTATCAGATTCTTTTTTTTTTAATGTAATCTGAAATAGAAGAAGAGATTGATTGCAGTTACCAAAAATTGTTAATAAATATTACTGCATCCATGTCAGCATTAGATAATGTTCAAAGGAAAGCAAAAGAGGAGCACAAATTTTATCATATTGGTTTTGTATTGTCAAAAGCTAGGAGGGGGTAGCCAAATGCTAATGGTCCATGAGCTCAAAAATGTCAATTTTTCCATTTGGTTGTTTTTCTAGAAATGATTTGAAATCCCTCCCATTGGAATTTATGGCCAAGAAAAAGTGCTTAATTTGAAATTGACGGCAAGTCGATGAGTCAATCAAACATATATGCAAACTTTTTCTACGGCTTCTCATTTTAATTTGTTAATTCCGGCTTTAACAGTAAAACAACAAACCATCATCCGGGAATGCCAATCAAATCTAAACAAAAACTTCAACCTGTCAACTATGTTTTCAATCTTCCTCAACTGTATAAGCCTGCATTAAACCATCAGCTAAAGGGAAATCCCATTTATTTTTGGTTCCTTTTAGTTGGATGCCTGCATGATTCTTTTGATTTGAATGAACCAAAAAGAGTTAGAAGTTATTTTGGTGGTTGACTGAAGACGGATATGAAGCTTAGGGGGAAGCTAGAGACTACCATATGCAAAAATAGGTTCAAATTGCTTTCGGTTGCTTTTTTTTTTAATTTGAAGAGTATTGATCCTATTGAAATGTGCATGCATTTTCCAATAACTTAGATAATATAGTCATATAACCTTCAGTTTTATCTTCACAAAATTCTATTTTTGAGGTGCAAAGCAATAATGATATCATAGAAGAGAAGGGAAATCCTTCAAGATAGACTAGATTAAAGAAGATCTAGTAGTTCACAAATTTTGACCTTTCGTTACATGGAATATTTTGTGAAGAAAAAAGTGAATCAAGCATCATGTTTCTTTTTCTTTCTTACTTCTTTTTAGACTTATCATTGGAATTATTATTTCCTTATCTGTCCCTTCTTACTGTTTTTCAGCAAAATTCCAAAGCTGTAGAACTCACTCTTGCTAAGAAATTCATTAAAAATCAGCTTGAAACTCAAACACTGTGATTGAGGGGAATTAAGTAGATCTAGCAAGATGTGTATCAATATTTATTTATTTTATATCAAATATAAAAATTATTATGTTATAATTTATACCGATACATCAAATATAAAATATATATATATATATTTATTTTTATCAAATTCATATAAAATTTGTTTAATTTTCAATTATATATTTTTTCATATCATGTTGCATAAGTATAGAATTAAGCTAAAATTGCAAGACAAAAGGTGTTTATCCTCTTAATACAAATTTCAACCTATGAAATTGAGCCTAATTATTTCTTGATACAAGTGCAAGTTTTAATTACGAAATAGTTAAGTTGGTTGACACATTTCAACTGTTAATCTTTCTCCCTTGTGCAAAGAGGCAGAGCAGTCAATGGTCATCTTAGTGTTGAGAAAAAAACATCTCTCAAAACAAAGTTCTTCCATTAAAATTTACCGAAGTCATTATTTTATTAACTTCAGAAAAAATAGAAAAACCTGACTAATTACGTTATTAATTATAAGATAATTAACATGCATAATAATAAATTCGTAGTTAAAAACAAGAAGAGAAAAAGTCTCATGGCTTCTGCTTCTGAGTATAGATATAGTCAATATGAGCAGCAAGGGTTCTTCTCATCAAGCACTCTTCTTCTCCAACTCCTTCACAGCTATCTTCAAGTGCCTCAGCCGACTGCTCTGTCCCAACAGTACCCTATCAAAACCCCAAACCATCAATATAACTTTAACAAAAAAAAACAGAAGAAGAAAAGGAAGATAAAACTCAGTCAAATTAACAAACCTCAGCCTGGGTTTTTGTAGGAGAATCGTTAGGGAAAGCTGGGCCAGAACGGGCTGCAAGGGATATAGTGGAAACAAGGAGGAGGGTGAGGACGAAAAGGGTCGCAAGTTTAGCCATCTTTGCTTTACTATAATTACAGAGCAAAGGAAAAAACTAACAAAGAGAGTCGATTAAGGATTTATGAAGATAAAAGAGATAGGGAGAAGAGAGCGTTGGTGGTGGCAAATATATAGAGAAGCGAAGGCAGGAAAGCGTGTGAACTGAAGACGTGGGAAGGGAAGACTACTGAATTCTGATAAATATAGCAGAGAAAAAGATAGTAGTGGGAAACAAGAATGTTTTAAAACTGGGGTTTTGAAACGGAGAAGAAACGGGAAGGTGGAATTGAAGTAGATTTTACGAAAAAAAACCAAAAACCAACAGCTCCAAAGGAAAAAAAAAGGTTTTCAAATGTTTATATTTTGCCTAAGCTCCGTTTTGACAACGCCATTTGTAGAATAACACAGCCAAACTTGCCTTGGTTGAAGGGGAAAGCGAGAGAAAATAGGATTTGTTTGGATGGAATAAAATATGTGACTAAAAGCAGGCAATCAATGATGATTAATATTTTTAATATATGATGCAATGGGAAGATCTGTTTAATTCTTTGCTGTGGAAAGGACTATTTGTACGGCTAGTGATTAATTCCACTAGGTAAGATTTCTTTTTTTTTTTTTTTTGTAACATGATAAATGATCACAGCCACATGATTTTTAAGGTTCATTAAATAATGAACTATAGTATCAAATGTTTGTTCTTTAATTTCTGAAAATGATTGTACACTTTAAAGAGTATTTTTTCCTTGGATGCAGGCAGATTCAAATAGTTGGGGTCCTTAGAATATTAATGTAACACAATCTATTCTTTGGCTATCACGTTAGAAATTTCATGTGCCAAAAAAAATCTACCCTAAAGAATCGCTTATTCCAAAAGATTAAGAAAGAAAAATGAATTAAACCATATGAAAGATTGAGAAGACACTTTAACAGAAGAAAATTTGTCATTGACTGTCGTTTGATTAGGTGAGATTTAAAATTTAATCACATGGCATTATATCAAGACATGAACTCGACTCTCCATTAGAAAATTCATAAGAAGAGGAGTCGAATCCGAATAATAAATGCAAACAAAATTTGAAAATATGTATTTAAATATATCATCGCATTATAAAAAGTTAAAATTTTTTATTATAAATAATTATACTTTTTTTGGATAATATGATGAGAGATGTTTTTAAGCTTTGCTTAAACTTAATCTTAATCTTTTCCTCAAATTATCCTTATTATTAAAAGCATTTGTCAATTGCTTAATTTCCAGCTCGTTACATTATCTAATTGGGGTCACACTTATATATATATATATATATATATAATTCATCCATTTTTCATGTAATTTGCGTGTCAGGATAAAGTCTTTAGAAATGAGATATTATTTTAATATTGACAACAAAAATTCCTTTAAATGTAAATGTTCACACGAACAAGGAGAAAAAACTCAAGACCTATTCTTGCAATATAATTATACAGGCTTAGCTAGAGCTGAGTTTTTAAGCTATCTCAACCATAAATTATTCTTTCAATATTCGTGGAAATGGAATGTTTCCGTTAATTTATCAAAATCTTTTGACATGCATCAACAATCTAGAAGACCCAAAGACAACCTAAATTCCTCCAACATATATTAAGGTTTTTGGATCTTCTCATAGATTATGTCACGACAAGTTGATGGTCTGAAAGCTCACCCTTTGCTTTGAGAAAATTTGGCACATCAATAAGTGGCATAATAACCGATAGGTTCTTTGAGGACTTTTAGCATATCTTCTTCATTCATTAATTGACTGTTAATTTTTTTTACAGTTTTAATTGACTGTTAATTAATTCTTCATTCTTTTCACAAGTAAAATGTAAGTTTTATAATCACAATAAAGGGAGTGTAAGTTTTATAATCACAATAAAGGGAGTGCTTATTGACAAGTAACAATCAGCATCATTGCGCTTTGAAATGATGATGAAGAGCAGGAAAATAAACTTTTAGAAATAATATTTCACAACAATTAACAAATTCAATTCATGCAAATGCTTTTTTAATTATCAAATTTTTAATTTCATTATGTATATATATGTGTGTATGTACGAATTAAAAATCCATCTACAAACTTAATTATTAGAAAAAAAAATTGACTATTAGATTAAAGAAGATAACTAATGATATTGTCGATAAAACTTTAGAAACTAGAAGAAATAAAATAGGATATGATTTTTTTTATTTCAAATATTTTTTATAAGACTTAGATTGTAAATTGATTTCCTTCTTGTGTTATCCGTTATATAAATATTCATGGAATTGTCCCAACATACGATGTATTTATGAATTTGTTCTTAAGCAAAGAGTAAAAGAACAAAATATTAAGGGAAAACTAGTCAAAGACGTAAGATCAATAAATTTTGATCTTTCGCCATTTTATTTTATTATTATTATTTTTTTTTTTTTTGTCTTAGGACAACAGAATGTTGCATATATAAATTAAGCTTTAGCTAACCTTAATGTCATTGTCACATGCCTTAACCATTTTGTCACAAAGGGCAAAGTGCTAGTAAGTACAAGTTGGTAGATTACTCAAAAGATTACATAAAATTCTAAATTATATAATTAATTAATCATGAAAATTAAATGTTAACCAGTACCTAGTGACACTAATTAAGATAATATTTAAGGAAATAAATTTACAATTAATGCATTAAAAAATGCCTAATAGATATCAAAAGATATGTTAGTTAACCCTTGTGATGTTTTCCTTCTAGATTATCCATCCATGGAGGTTGAATATGTTAGTCTAAATATGAAAACAATATATATGAAAATATTAAATCAAATAGAACCTTTGGAGAAAAGCAGATGAAGTCTTTTATAATGAAGATGAGATTAATTATAATATCAAATTAAAATTAAAATGGTTGGCGTGTGAAAGAAATTATTAATAATGCAAGATGGCTTCGCAAAAAAGAAAAGAATAAGAAAGAAAAAGTAAACGAAAGGTGGGAGAAATATAGCATTCAAACAAAGCAGCTAGCCGGAGTGTAATAGAGGAGAGAATATAATCATATAATTTTGTTCTGTGGCAATGGTGTTTGCAGATTAACCGAAATCTGATACTTGAATTAGTCAAAAAAGAAATTAAAGCCATTTGTGTTGGTGACCTTTCGGTAGCTAAAGGCAAGGTTTAGACTTTGAAAAGCTGGATTGAAATTCTAAGTTAAGATCTTTTCCTTTTATCATGCAAGGTTTAGTTTGCGTAATTAGTTATTTATACCAGAAATTACAAAGTCAATTCTGCAAGAGATTTCAATAAAAAAAAAAAAAAAACATTGCCGTTTTTGTGCTATATTTGATCCCAAATCAATCACTTGGTATTTTTTTTTTGTATACTTCATTAGGGATTCAGCCATAAAACGTAGAGGTTAAGAGTCCATTTAGATAGACGATGAAATTAGTTCTAATGATAATAAAAACAGCAATGGAGGTAAGATTAGTTATTATAATAATAAAATTAAATATTATAACAGTAAATTAAAATTAGTGATGAAATATATGTTTAGATATAATCGCAATAGTGGTGGTGAGATAAAAAATAGTGAAAATAGAAAATAATCATTAAAGATATTATATTAAAATTTATATAAAATAAAAAATTTAAATCATTTTATATTTATAAAATTAATAAATAATTAAAAATACCAATATTAGTTTTATTTCAAATAATAATTTTATTAATAAATATTTAAAAATTAATAAAATTGATAACAATATATAAAAATGATTTTTTTAAAATTGATAATAATTATTTATATTAAAATATTAATTATTTTTATTCAAAATAAAATGAAAAGAAATGAAAAAAAACTTTTAAATAACAAAATCAAATAAAAATGAACAAAAATAGATTAAATAAATTTTCATTGCTACATTAAAATTTTTTTTTTTTAAAAAAAAAAATACAACAAGGGCTTTTGCGGAAAAATAGGATTCACCGGTGGTGAGTTTTTTTCACTGGAGCTTGAAGCGTTAGTTGGATTTTAGAGCCACAGCACGGTGAACTTGCATTTCTACCTCACCATTCATGCAAGCCAAATGCATTTTTTTTGCACTGTACAGTGCAGTTGACAGAGGTTTTCATGGTAAACGCAGCTCCATTTCAATCCAAATGCAGCCTAAGCCAAGGGGAGAAGGGGAATTGAACTAACTATAAATTAGATCGTCTTGAAAGGTTTCTTCTCTTTCTTGAATGGGCATCGACATCAAACTTTAGACAACAATTCTCTATTAAAGATCGAGAAAACAAGTATTATACTAATCTATTACTTAAAATTGTTAAATCTTGAGTATTGGTTATTAGCAATTATGCTTTAACTCTAAAATAGTCATCAAATTATTTTAGAATTGCAAAGATGTCACCACATATTTGCACTTTAGCCACTTGAAATTTAAATATAAAGAACGGTAATCTATATATGCATCAGTTTTTGTAGCTCCTGCAGGTAATAAAAGCAGCTGATCTGACATGAGCAGAGCAACACTAATCAATTCAGCCAATGGCCCAGAGAGCATTTTACAGCTTTTTTCCTTGTTCTGGTTCCCATAGTTGTTCCTATAGTCCAATGAAAAATGATACTATAACATATATATGATGATGTTAAAACCATATCTTGCGGCTTTTTACTAAAATATCTCAGTTAAGTTGCAATAACCAAATTCGAAATTTTGCTTCTCTGCCTTCAATTATTTTAGTACTAGGGAAAAAATAGGAGTTGCTTTCTCTTCACATAACAGTAGAATAAGACTGCTAATAATGCTGTCCTGTCTGGGCTCCATACTGTGAAGAAAAAAGAAGAAATGGCCAATCAAAGTCAGCAAGCCAATCGATCCTTATCCTTTTGAGTGTTTAGCAGTACAAAAATTGATGAGTAATTCTCTAGTCTTTTACTGTGAGAATCCATGACAAATCCGGTAGGCTTTATCCATAGTCCGACACCCTTTGCTGCCTGCAAGCATTTTTTCCAAAAGTTGCCAAGTCTCTAGCCACTATTGTTTGAATCTCTAGATTTTCTATGAATCTATGATTTCCTTATCTGACCATTTCAATCGGCTGGAAACAAAAACTAATCACAAAACGATAATGCCATGGGCACCCATATTTCATGTCTCATTATAATTGTCTAATTATACGTATCCGGGGCTGAAAATGATCACACGATTAGACTCAACCAACACATTCATATATATATATATATATATATATATATATGTTGACACTTGAGAGTTGAGATTTATTAATAAGAAGTTTCACATCATGAAGAAAGATGAAAGATCGATTTCGTAAATTGATGAATTTCATGAAAAGTGATGAAGACAAATGAGATCTTCAAGAATCAAATAAAATTCGTAGTGGGGTTAATTTTGACATCAAATTATTGTCATTTGAGTCCCACCAACATTAATATACATAAAATTATAAACCGACTTTGAAGGTCAGTGCAGAATATGGAACTGAAATGTCTTACTCTCCCATAACAGCAGGGCCCAATGTTTCGACCACAAGTTTTTGAAACCATAACATACATAGTGGCATTGTGTTTTGTCGATGACTTACTTCTATCGGAAGCAGGATGCTATTATTAGGCCATTAGTCAAACACCATTTCAGTTCACTAAAATCAGTTTTAGTGTAGCTTTGCAGCCTAATTACGTTAAGTTGGAAAAAGAAAGAAAGGGAAAGACGTCGAAAGAAACTTGTGAGGGTTACATTTTTCTCTGTCCTTTGCTAAATGTTAAAATTATTTTCAACTGCAAACTCCATCTTTAAGTGTAATGAAACGTTTTTAAACAATCATGATTTTGATGGTATATATAAATATGCATGAAAACATGCAAGTTTTGAGAGTGACAAAATTATGCAGTCAACAAGAAAGTGATAGCAATTTGGGTCTCATTTAATGATTTACTTAGACAAAAGGTTGGTTAATTAATAAAAAATAACTTACAATTATATAATCTGTTAATGTAATACTAGATTTTTAATTAAATTTATTAGAATTTAAATTTTGACTATTTCAAATATGAAAAAAAATGAAATTTAAGATGATATATATTGTTTAGTGTGCTTATTGCTCAAAAGTTTTGGTTTTATAAGGTTTATTGTAAATTTGTAATAGTTCAAAGCGATACTTTATGAATTCTCCTCTGTCTACAAAGGAGAAAATGTTTTATAATTAAGAAATCAATGGTCACTGACACAATATTAGGGCAAGGATCATGTTCGTGATTGGTCCCAAGGACTACAAGAATTGAAGTAACTATAAAACTATAAACCTCAAGCTGGCCGGCCTGCAGTCAAAAGACTTTGAAAAGACCTTGAAGGCGAGCCCTAGGTCCGGCCCATCACTATTAGACCGGGCTGCATAACTATGGCAGATTGACATGTGTTGCAAACCTGAATAGTTTTTTACTATAGCTTGAACAACGATTTTGGAGTTTGAAGTTGGTCCAATCTACTTTGGGGATTCTTAAAGTAATTTCCCAGCAAAGAACAGCTTTTAAACTATCAAATTATACTCAGATTATGGTATTAGATTCTAGTAGTGTAAATTCTTCAATTCAATCTGTAAGTTATGCTTTACCTGATTCTTGCTTGTGTTTTTATTCCTTAAAAAAAGAATCGTGGAAAACCTCTTAAAATATGTGAACAGTAGCATAATTATATTTTACTATACTCTTTTTCTTTTTTTCTCCTTTGACAGTATTTTAAAGAATTAATCTAGTTGGCTTTTGGTTGATTAATTCAATTTCAGGGTAACTCTTTAAATACTTTTGAGGTTATTGGATTGCAAATATGCTTTAAAATTTAAGGGGTGTTCCAAAAAAATTTTGAACATAATTACTAATTAATTAACCAAAAGAAAAAGAAAAATGCTCTTAAGTAATTGCAAGAATGCATCAAATATACAGTAAGTTCATTTGGCAACGTGATGGAAGAAACTCTTATCATGCCGTGATGTTATTTTATGAATTATAATAGGATAAAGTCTTAAGAATATAATCACAAAAAGAAATTATAGCATGACAGAAGCCTTTCCCACCACGTTCAATTGAACCTTATGTTAGGCCATTTTGATTGTAATACTAAAAGGGTATATACATATTCTTGGTATAACATTTGCTATCCTCCTAGTGTAAATTGTATTCTTTTTCTTTTTCTTTTTTTTTACAAACATACAAATTATCCTCAATTTAACGAAATTGTTTAACCTTAAATCTTCTATATATTAAATTAGTTCACCTGTTAGGAATTTTTTTCTTTTGGGGGGGGGGGGGGGGGGGGGCTTGGGGGATTATTCTATCGTTAATAACTTGATTATCTCTATTCAGTCATAATCGGATTGTAGAGGGTTAGAGATTTTTCTGAGCGAAAAAAGCATGTGTGGACTATATCTATATATATATATATATCTTGCCATAATCTTGGCAATACATGTACCCTCCTGAGATGTTATTATGGACGTTATTTGTTTCCTCCTGCCTGATTCTTTGCTTGAGTTAATGATGCGGTTTTACATTTCTGCTTTAGTATGCATCACAAATAGGATCTCTTAATATCAAAGTAAGTAGTTAATTGGCCCCAATTGATGATTATTTATGATGCTCTTGTGGGAAAAAAAAAAGTAGTTGTGCTGTAGAGAATTTTTTTAGCCCATTGGTTTCCTGCTAATATTCCATGCAAGCACCCTTTTTAAGCATGGCTAGGCATTTGTCTTAAAATTTCAAAACCAACTGAAATGGATGCTATTGTTTTTTCCTTGGCCAGGAGTTGCACAAACTGGTGTTATTGGAAAGGGAATCAATTCATTCCGGCGATCGAGCCAGCGATCCAGATCCCTACAAGCCATGTCTCATGTGTTCCTGCCTGCAGAAAACTGGATAGAGTGGCCGCATGGCTCATGAATGGGTTAGCTGCAGCATTCTTCATGTCTCTAGAGCGGTGCTATTGCATTCGTATAGACACCAAAGATGATGCCGCTGATGATATCCAATTACTTGCCCTGCAAGACGAAGAGCCAGAGCAAGAACTAGCTAGGTCGGAGAATAATTCTATGGCGTGTCAGAAATGACCAAAAATCCACGGCCATATTTTATCCTGCTTCATCATTTCTTGAACCTAGTAAGACCTTGTGGTTGAGCACTAATTTGTTCTAGGCTATATATTAAAGATTGCCACTTGAGACAAACAAATTATACAGTTTAAACAACTTGTTCTTTTTATAATGATTAATCTTTTTCTAAATTCAAATTGCTTGGCATTTATCATTTCTTTAACTCCGAATTGACTTGTTTTTATTATTTGTAATCATGATTGAGCAGAGAATTACTTTTGAAATTGGTAAAAGGCCCAACCCACTATGTCTCCACATGATTAGTCCCTAATCGCATGATCTTTTAAGTCTCATGGCATATGCGCATCTCAAAAGCCTCTCATGTGTGTGTTTGTCTCTCTCTCTCTCTCTATACATATATATATATATATATATATGGCGCCTATTGATTAAGGGTGTCGGAGTTGATTTGTTTGGATACGTTCGGACGCTTAAATTAGTAAAGTGTCTAAAATTTTTTTAAAGAGAAAAGTAAGTTGCAGAGAATGTAAAAAAACTTAAGAAAAAGGAGTTCAAAAAATTGTATCTAAACTTCCTTTTTATTTTATACATGAGATAGCGAGGGTGATGAGATTAGAATTGTTGAGAGTTGATAGAAAATTTATGTAGAACTCGAGGAAAAGGCTATATTAATAAGTGTAGATTGTATTTAATCAGTCTAGACAGAAAATCAATTTTTGTTGTGAGGTGATATTCTAATAAGATATTAGTAGTAGTAGAAGTAGTTGGGTGAGCCTATCTATAGGTGAAGGAGTGAAAGCAAACCTGTATTATGATAAAAAATCTAGATATCGATCATTTTTAGTGATAACATGACAATTAAGCGTATATTATGTAGAGATTAACTTTAATGATCGAGTAAGTAGGTATAACGTTGTTTAATATTAGAGCAATCAAAATCTTGAAATGTGAAATCAAACTAGCCTCACAACTGATATATTTAACTAGCCTTTCATGTCAAAAATTAGATTATAACTCAAATTTAGAATCCCCTGCCATACAGTATGATCTAGAATAACAATGGTTTTTTTTAGAGCTAACTATGGTAGAAAGGAGACTGTAGTTTGAAAAATAAATATATATATATATGTGTTAAAATTAAAATTTAAATTTATTAAATATCATTCTTTTAGAGTGATTATATAAATCAATTGTACTAAACTTCTAAAATGCTAGAATGATTTTATCTTTTTAGTCAAATAAGGCAATTAGATTAATGAATTGAACAAAAATAACATGACTCATTTTTATCAGCAGTTGAAGTTGAAAAAGAAATGTTTGAGGAACAATGTTTATGTCATGTTATTGTAGGTTTGAACTGTTGATTGAGATAAATTTTTAACAGCCTTTCTAAATCTAATCAACCACTAGTCATTGTCTGAAAAAGGAAAGGTCACATTTGCATTTTATCTTTTGATATAATAAAAACCTCTTCTTTTTTTTTTTAAATTATGACTCTACTGTAAGAGCAATTCTCTTGTTGCGTGTTGGACTGATTTCTGATACGATGTTATGAAATATATGTAGGAGTAGTGGAGATCTATAAGGAGAACCATACTTTCTTGAACATAATTAGGATAAGAAAACCATGGATACATCGGAAGTATATATGGATAATGGCTAGGAAGGAGTGGGACAGGTTCGGATTATTTTTTTTATCCCTTTCAAGTAGCAGTTTTACAATGAACACCACATAAAATTGAAAGCAAAACTTCAATATCTGATTTCCTGTTGAATTCCAAATTTGATCAACAGTGATGTGGTTGACGATATAAGCTTGGTACGTAGCTGGAGGAGTCGAACTGACCCTTGGCATTAGGACAGGAGAATTTTCAGCTCGAAACTCGGCACAATTAGTATCTTTTAAAATTAGAAGAAGAGATATTCTCTCTTTCATCTATAAGCTTGGTACGTACCTAAAGGAGCCGAATTGACCCTTGGCATTAGGATAGGAAAACTCTCAGCTCGAAACTTGGTACAATTAGTATCTTTTAAAATTAAAAGAAGAGGTATTCTCTCTTTCATATAATTATATAAAAGAAATGTAATGGTGTTTGAATAGATTAATCTGTTATTAAGGATCAAAGTATATACGTACAGATTATACAAATATATGATATGAGATTGTCTTATTGTATATTCAAATTCAAACATTACAATTTAAGATAAAATACATCCAAGTCTTTGAGTTTTAAATATAATTCAACTTAGGTCCATTAGTTTGAAAAATGAACATTCCGTCCAAAAACTTTTCGATATTAAAATCATTTTGTCAATTAACTCCAATAAAAGACTCATTTAAAAATTATTTTACCCCTTCAAAATAATATCCTCAAATACTCACATAAAGTATTTATTTATAATAATAATTTTTTTCTTAAAATATATAAAATATATTAATAATATATAAAAAAAAATTTAGGTGCAAAATATAAAAACAAAATTCACAATAATAAATAACATTTTTTTCAATCAAATATTTTTTCTTATTATATGTTAAATGTTCTTATTATAACATTTTTTCTTATTATAATTTTAAATTTTATTTTTATATATTACACCTAAAAATCTTTTTATATATTTTAAGAAAAAAATTATTGTTATAAAAAATTATTTTATGTGAGTATTTGCTTATTATATTTATATGTTTTATAGCTATAATATATAAAAACAAAATTCACAATTATAAATAACATTTTTTCAACCAAATATTTTTTCTTATTATATGTTACACGTTCTTATTATAACATTTTTTTCTTATTATAATTGTGAATTTTGTTTTTATCTATTACACCTAAAAATCTTTTTTATATATTAGTAATATATTTTATATATTTTAAGAAAAAAATTATTATTATAAATAATTATTTTATATGAGTATTTGCTTATTATATGTTATATGTTCTTATTATAACATTTTTTCTTATTATAATTGTGAATTTTGTTTTTATATATTACACCTAAAAATCTTTTTTATATATTATTAATATATTTTAAGAAAAAAATTATTATTATAAATAATTATTTTATGTGAGTATTTAAAGAAATTGATTTTGCAAAGATAAAATGATCTTTTAATGAACCTTTTAACGAAGTTAATTGACAAAAAGACTTTAGTAACCTATTAATTAAAAAGTTTTGAAATGGGATATTTATTTTTTAAACTAATGGATTTGAGTTGAATTATACTTAAAACTCAAGAATTTAAATATATTTTACTTTATAATTTAAATTCAAATGCCATAATACTTTTGAAAAAATTCAAATGTAACAACAAAAAAATCAGGACTTGATCTTCTGCCCTTGCTTGATTTTCTTTCAAATGAAGGTAATTTCCTTTTCTCTTCTACAATACCAACAAAATGGTATACTTTGTAAAATGGACTAGTATATGCTACTAGAAAGTATGGTGCTATGAATAAGGTTTTCCTTGAATAAAATTGAATTGATATATACTTTTTATGGTGTGTAGAGCCTAAATTTAATTTGACATTGATTATCTTTACGTAGAATTAATACGCAAATCATTTTTTATGATAAGATTGATGTGAGGGCGAAAAGGGTAATAAACCCTCTTTTAGTACTAAGGACAGTTTTCTAAACAAATTTTATATTTATATTACTAATATGGATATTTTGAGATCTTTGTACATATAATTTAATTATTCTAATTATGTTTAATTAGGGGGCCCGCTGAGAATATTTTTTATGATATAATTTTAGATTGAAAGTGAATCATTATAAATTTTATATATTTTTTATTTTATTTATTATCATTTTCTAAAGTGTAAGCTTTAATCCTAACAATACCGAGTCTGACACATAAATGGTCCAAAGCAGGTAGATAAGGCGGCATCCGGCTACATGAATCTATTGATCTAGATTTGATTTTTATACGTATTATCTCAGTCTAATTTTAAGTGTTCACCTCTTTTTTATGTTTCAAAATTGAAAATTTTTTTATTTTTAAATTTAAAATTTATTTAATTTATTTGTTTTTATAATATTTTTTAAAAAACTTAAATTTTATTTAATTTATTTATTTTTATAATAAAAGCATGTTACATCAATATTATAAAATAATTAAATTTATAATATTAAATATATAAAAATCAAAACTGCTTTCTTAATAGACAAGAAAGATAAAGGAAAAACTTAAAATGGAATATCATAGACGTGTGTGCAAAGTTTCTCGCTCATTGTATCTGGAATATGTGTACCTAAAATTTCCCACGTGATGGAAATGTTCAAGGGCTGTCTTCTTTCAACAACCGCCATCAAGAAGGAACCTAGGCAAAAGCAAAAGGTACCACTTTTTTATCAAAATATTAAAAAAGCTTTTAAAGTATTTATTTGTTTAAATAAATTTTTATATTTTTATTATATTTAAATAAATTTTTCATTTATATTTATAATTTATTAGATATAAATTAAAATATAATAACTTAATTTGAATACAAATTAAAATTTAAAATTTTATTTTGATGTAAATTAAAGATCAAATATTTATTTGAATATAATAAAAATATAAAAATTTACCTATATAAATGGATAAAATTCAAAAAAATTTTATTATTTTAGTTTTTTTTTTCGTCTTGAATTACATTATTAATAATATTTAGACCACCCCCTTTCACCTACCATACCCTTTTTCAATCGGTTGGCAACCCTGTTCATATTTTTGGAATACATCTCAATTATAGAATCCCTTTCTTCTTTATCTCTCAGCCACTGCTTTTTTCCACATCCAATGGAACGTAAGTACCCAAGCTTGCACCTTAGTGTAAGAAATTTAATGTTGTAACGATTTTGAGATAGTAAGATATAAATAAATTTTAAAATTAAAATAAATGAGAGAGTCATCATCAATCTTTATTAAAGTATGATTGATCATCTAAAAATTTATTTTTTTAATAAAATTATAAAAACGGATTTAAAATTTATCAA